CTGATGAGGAAAATCTGTTTTTTCCAATCTTTTGCAGAGAACGGCAAATCAAGTGTCCAAGGTGTGACAAGCTGTTCCTGAGGACAAATCATCTGAAGAAACATCTCAACTCCCATGAAGGAAAGAGGGATTATGTGTGTGAAAAATGCTCCAAAGCTTATCTAACCAAATACCATCTCACTCGCCACCTAAAAATCTGTAAAGGCCCAACATCCAGTCTCTCAGCCCAGGAAGAGGAGGAAGAGGAAGATTCAGAGGAGGAAGAACTAATAGAGTCAGTAAGGACTGACGACTGCAGGATTAACAGTGGAGTGTATTCAACAGATGACTGTCTCTCAGGCCATAAGTGATAAAAGAGAGGGGAAAACTTAAGATGTAAAATTGGGGAAGAACAGTCAACCTTTTCTCAAAGGATCATGTTTTTAATCAATGAACATTATATCCCTATTTAATAAACCATGGCTAAAACTCTGAGAACGGATGACACACATGTGTTGACGAGGAACAGTTTCTGGCAAGAAAAATACACTGTGCACACAGACTTTTTCATATATTGTGTTCATAAACTCTGACAGGTAAGTAAGAAAGTCATCTTGCTCCATTCTTTGGCTGAAAGAATCATGAAACAAAAATGTAATATGGTTGCCATAGGAACCTGTGAACCAACAGACTTGAAATGCCAAAACCATATTTGGGATTTAAAAGAAAAAATAATTGTGTATTTTGACATTTTAATTCAAAGGGATTGGTTTTGTCTGCTCTCTAGAGCATAGATCAGATTTTAAGTGCTCAGCTTTCCTTCTAGAAGTACAAATTAAATGCTTTAAAAATAAAACCCATGAACTCAACCCTCAGTATGGACAAAGCAATTACCTCATCACAAAAATTGTACAGGTGATCAACATCTTGCTTTCAGATAAGTGTTGCCTCTTAATTTCCAGTTTAGTAGGAGATGTAACAAACCTAATGAATTCTACATGTTTTCAGTTTTGACAGGTTGATGTGGCTTTCAGTATGCCCCACAGGCTTGAAATTGTCCAGATAGTGGCTACAGTATGTATCATTCATTACTGTGCTAGTTATCTGGGGTGCTGGTGATAATGGGAGGGGTTGCTGCTAATGTATTTATGGAATGAAAATGTATTTCATTCAAAACTGTTTTCCTTTTGGAAAAATTAAAACATGGTTTTTTTTAACATGGGATTTCTCAGTCTTTTTTGAAAGTTTCTGAAAGTATGCTTTTCCAGAGCACAATGGAAAAAGGCAAACAGTGTAAACATTTACCACACCCCTAACACATTTCTGACTGGCTACGTATACATTGGCAAGATTTTATGCAAATACTTTTAACACAAGAGTTTTTGCGTTAAAATATTTGCGCAAGAGAGCATCTACACTGGCATGTGCTTTTGCACAAAAGCATCCGTGCCAGTGTAGATGCTCTCTTGCGCAAGAAAGCTCCACTGGCCATTTTAGCCATCGGGCTTTCTTGCGCAAGAAATTCATGTTGCGTTGCCTGTCTACACTGGCCACTTGTGCAAAAAGCACTGATTTCTTACATTAGAATGTCAGTGTTCTTGCGCAAGAACTCCTGGCCGGTGTAGACAGGCAGCAAGTTTTTGCGCAAAATCATGCCAATGTAGATGTAGCCACTAAATATTGCTAGTAGGAGCATTTGCCCTCAGATGGGAGTACTGTCCCCCATGCAGTTAAACAGCACACACAAACATTGTGTTAAAAAGCTGTCCTTTCATAGCCTGTTTAAAAAAATAGCTGCTGAGAGCTAGTCAACAAGGCTGAATCTAATCTAATCTAGATAGAGCTTCTTTTGCTGTGCTCTAAGCAAGAAAAAAAAATGAGGAAGATTGTTTAAACTTTAAAGCTTCCTCTGAGAGAGAACAGTTTGAAGATCTCCACTGCTGTTGGAGATACTACAGCTGAGGAAGAGAGTGACTTGTATCATGAACAGGGACTTTGATGTGTCCCCAGCCCTTGCCTACATCCCTTTCTAGGCACCTCACCTTATTAAAAATATTCATATCCTGATGAAAATGCAGACTAGCCCCTGTACTGATTGTAGGCAGTGTGTGGATTACAGACTGTATGTATTCAGGCTGTGGTACAGAGATGGCATGGAAAGATGTATTGCTCATGCCTACTACCTGCATTTACAAGGCAAAACAGGCACCATAACAGAAAATGTGTAATTTAGTATCTACTAGGACCTTGTTTACAAAAGTTGGCAAGTAAGGAAAACTAAGGAGCCACATCCACAAAGGCATAGCAGTATGATGCCACAGTCTCCACTGCAATTCACCTTCTATTTAAGTTCAAAGTGGAACTGTAAAGTTTGTCCAGGTGACTAAGTTTCTGCTTCTGGGCAAGCAGCTAGATGTCTTTTACACATAAGCCCCGACATGATCATCAAACTAGAGCAAGTCAGCTCTTCCTGGCTGGCACACCTGTGGGTTCTGAGCAGGCAGGTGTGCTCTGGTCAGGCCTTACTACACCCACAGTGTTCCAAGAGGAGAGTCTCTTATTACCTACAACCCAGGGGCTTGGGATACTCATTCAGGATGTGGGACCATCCCCTTCCCTTCAATGAGACAGGATGTGAGCAAGAATCTGCCACCACACAGCCAGGAGCCCTACCCTATGCACTAGGCTCCAGTGGCACTTGCTCTTTCTAGCTTAAGTTATATTTGTGTAGTTATTTAAAGTAGAATTTTGTCAATAAGCAAGACAGCACCCCAGTATCCCGTAACCCAGCTGTTAAGCACCTAACTGAGGAGGGCTCAAGGGCTCTAACTCAGGAGAGAACCAGGGCTCTTATGATGCCAGCTGTGAAAACAGACAGACTAGCATGGCTCATTTGCCATGTAAACACAAGCAACTGGAAACAAAATTAACACAAACCTGGTAGCGCAGCACACCCTCAGCTTCTGAAAAAAGTAAAGTGGCTGCATCTAGACTGGCATGATTTTGTGGAAATACTTTTAACGGAAAAGTTTTTCCATTAAAAGTATTTCTGCAAAAGAGCATCTAGATTGGCAGATGCTTTTGCGCAAAAGCAGCCGTACACAGTATAGACACGCTTTTGCGCAAGAATGCTCCGCTGGCGATTTTAAGCCATCGGGCTTTCTTGTGCAAAAAATTGAGGTGCCTGTCTACACGGGCCCTCTTGTGCAAGAGGGCTTATCCCTGAGCAGGAGCATCAAAGTATTTGTGCAAGAAGCACTGAATTCTTACATTAGAACATCAGTGTTCTTGCACAAATTCAAGCGGCCGCTTTTACGCAAAATCTTGCCTGTCTAGACGCACCCAAGGTGTTTGTTTGTGACAGTAAGCACAACAGGCACTCGCTCACTTACTGAGCTAGCAGATGATTAGCAAGTACTCCATTGTGTGACACAGACTAGTCATAAGTATAAAGCTTTTGAAAACAGACACCTAGCAATACAATTCAGACGTTCAAAAGCAAAATGTAAAGTGCAGTTGCATAAAAGGAGTTGGCTTGTTTACTGAATCTCGGTGTACAAACAAAAGCAGATTCAGCCACTGCCACTGCTGAAACTGAGGAGCAGCGGACTTGGGGAAGCGGCGGAGCAGAGCAGCTGGGGTGCTGCCAGGTTGGTCCCACAGCACCGCCCCTCACCCCCCTGCTCGGCGCCGGGCAGCACCCCACCCGCTCTGCTCTGCAGCAGCATCGGCGGTGGCGCACAGCTGAGCGCAGCCGGAACGGGGCAAGTTTGGGGATTTAGCTCTCGTCCCCTGTCCTCTGTTGCCGCTTCCCCCGCCTTCCTGCAAAACGGCGGAAGGTTTGCCCCTCGCCAGGCCATTCCCCACCCACCCCTGGCCAGACACAGTGTGGGTTCTGGCAGACCCGTCACAGGGGTATAAGCCTCTTCCCCTCTTCTCCCCTTCCCTTTCCCAGCTGCAAGCACCCCTGGGGCTCACAGCAGCTTCAACTGTCCAGATGGCCGGAGCACTTCCAGGTTCCAGTTGGTGCCGGATTATCAGGAGTGCCGGATCACTAGATGCCGGACAATTGGAGTTTTACTGTCTATTGGTATTAGCCTCATTTTTAAAACAGAAGCAGAAACTGCATTTTTCAGAGATCATCACAGAAGCCAAAATTTTGAGAGATATTAGCAACCAAGAAGCCCAGCATCTAACGAAACCCAGATGACAAAAGGATACTTTATGAAGAAGGCTGGAGTCAAGACAGTGTCAGGATTACAGGTTTGAGATGGACTATTTGGGGGGAACAATGTTCAGTGATCAACATTACTCCGGAGTGCACAATAGGAAGAACTAAAGTATGTGGGTTGAAGGCAAGGGAGGGCAAGCTATGGAAAGACTAGACAAACCTGAAATATTCTCCGAGTTCCTGATTTAATCAGCAAGCTAGAGTTTGGGACAGGATAGCAAGTCTTCCACCACCGTAAGTCAGCACTAGGATAAGTACAAAGTGTTTTTATCATGGCAGAATTTACTATGTTGTCTAAGTAAAAGTACACACCAGATAGCTAGAACTTCCCACTGTGCACACTTCATATCCATTAGCTACTGCTATCCTAACCCGTGCCATAATGAAGTGAACTTAGAGACTATTTAAAGCCTTCTCTGCATTCCCTCCAGTTTAAGAAGAATGTGCAATAGTTGCATGTATTATGGATGTTCTAAGAAATTTAAATTGTGTGTAATGGCCCAAGCCCATGGCTGGTTACGAGTTGCATCTCTGCCCTATTTCGTATTCTAACAATTGCAGGTTGGTGACCTATTATTCAAAGCCAAAGATTTTTACAACCCTTTCCATCTGCTATGAGAGAGAAGGGGGGAAATGTATCACTATCACAACAATAAACCTGTGTAATCTGTGGGTTTTAAGAGGCTAACAGGATAGTTGCCCTTGAAGGGTAAGGGTACATGGGAAATGAGATTTTGTTTACTTTATGGTAGTTTTACAATGCTTAACAGCTCCCAATTGACTTTCACCTCCGTTCCCTTGGCCCTTGCCATCCACCAGTTGAAAAAACACAGTTCTAAATAAGATGCTAATTTTTCAAAAGCTGTATTTGAAATGTGTTAAATGGTCTATGCTCAGATCACTTTGCGAGAACTTAATCATTATTGACTACTGTCACTAAAAGAGCTTAAATAATGAAAACTACTTCAATTGAAAATTGCTGTAGTTTTCATTATGCAACTAAAAGGGAACCCATTTTTCAATACTTTATATACACTCTACAGAAGCACAGTGCTTTCCCGCCAAATGTATCATATGTGTTTGTAAACATCACTTATAAAGTGATGTTTTCAAACACATATGTGATGTGTTATCCCCATCTGAGTGCTAAGTAAAGTAAGGTGCAGGATGTCACTTAGAAAAGATGTCAGTCAGCAATAGAAGCAGAAACTTGTAACTTCGGACTGACCATGCTTTCTTCCCATAAGATGAAAAAAAAGCTGCATTGCAGGAAACTTGATACACTTCCATGAACATTTTCCAAAAAAGTGGATGCAGAGTTCATATAAATTGTAGTCCCAAAGTATACTCTGGTTTTATGTTCTGCACTTATACCATCTATGTGAGGTTTAATCCATCATGATTCCATTGCTGCTTCTGGACTTTTGCTGCTACTGCTGGCAAATGAGCTGCTAGTTGCTGAGTTTGTACTGGCAGCTACTAGTCTTTCTCTGCTTCCAAAAACGTCATTCACTGCAACACAAGAGATTATATAAATGCTAGAATCCTGGAGAGAAAAATCACTGAAGCATGGTTTACAATAATGACATGGCAATCAAACTTAGTTGAACAGCATCTTGAAAGCTTTTGCCAACCAACTAAGAGGGTTTACGTTTTATATTTCAAAACAAAGGAATTATACTAACTGAATACATTAGGAGGAAGGCATGTTATTTCTCGCCTATAGAACTGCTGTTTTGTGGTCATGCTGCTAATGGTCTGTGATTGTTGTATCTGAAGATAATCTGCCTATCTCACTCCTTTTCTGAATAGTGATAGAAATGTAGCCGTGTTAGTCTGGTGTAGCTGAAACAAAATACAGGACTATGTAGCACTTTAAAGACTAACAAGATGGTTTATTACCAAAGGATATATATATATGGTTGTGACTATTTTCTTCCACTATTTGATCTGAGGAAGTGGGTCTGGCCCACGAAAGCTCATCATCTAATAAACCATCTTGTTAGTCTTTAAAGTGCTACATGGCCCTGCATTTTGCTTCCCTGACAAGCCTTGTTAGCTCCCCCCAGTCAGGGAATCCTCTGAACTGTCATTCATGCTAAAATTCGACACTCTACGTGTGGGTCTCAACAAAGACCCCAGCTATCTTACCCATTACAAAGATAGCTTCCCCAATTATCACCTCTAATACCATTAACTCACAGACATTTACCTTCCCCCCCCCTCAACCCCCCACATCCCCCTCTGTTCTGAAATTTGATTTGTCCTTTTCATATGTGTGGTTTTTTTTAAATGTATCCTTTGGTATATATGGTTGTGACTATTTTCTTCCACTATTTGATCTGAGGAAGTGGGTCTGGCCCACAAAAGCTCATCATCTAATAAACCATCTTGTTAGTCTTTAAAGTGCTACATAGTCCTGTATTTTGTTTTCACTCCTTTTCTGTGTGCTTAAGTGGTATCCATCTTGTCACACATGGAGATAAGGTAAGTTTTGCTAAAGATACTATGTTTAAAATTTAATTCTGGTGTTAGGGTTTAGATTTGCATTTGATTTCTGCACGCCTTTAAAATAAGTAGATACAACATCACTACAGTTTATTACACAAGCCAAAATACAATTGGGAATGTGGCCAAAACCAGTTCCGACCATTGCAAACCACAGCCAAAGGGGTTTTTTTGTATATCAAAAGTCTGTGGTTATAGAGACAACATATAAAAAGTAACTGTGAAGATCAGCCATTTGGTCAACATTTAAAAACAAAAAACAGTACATCATAAACTAAACAAACTAAAAAACTAGAAACTAAAAAAAACAAGCTATATCAATATCACCTTTGTAAAAGCATAAAGAAATTAAGCAGTTTTTAACAAACACTGGAGGCTTCACTTTCAAAAAATAATTTTGGGTAAGAATCTGAAAACACACCCATTTAAATTTTACAAAAAACACTTCCATTGTGAGAATACAAGGCCATATTTCAAAGCATGAGGTCAAGGCCTTTATTCCACTTAGACTGAAATCTCACAATGGCAGGGGCTAATCTGCTAGCAGCAGAACAACGTAACAGGAGGCTGGACACACCTCATTACCCACCAGAAGCTTGTAGTTCTATCATAACCACCTTGATGCCTCATTTGATATACTACTGAATATACAGTGTATTAGAGAGAAAAAATGGAACCCAGAAACACAGATTAATGAGACTTACCTGCAGAAATACTACTTATATCCCATACTCGAAGGCCTTCTCTCTCTCCTCCAAAGGCATACACAAATGGCAAATCAAGACAACACGCTGCACAGAAGAGAACACCCTATGGGGAAAAAATATTGTTTTAAAAATAAAAAATATCACCTTAACATGCCTTCATGGAACAAGCTGAAGAACTGTAAGGGCCTTAAAACTTCTCTTGAATGATTTTGTAAAAATAATTTGATATCCTGGTTCCAGGCTTTAAAGCAGAGGTTGCCAGTCACATGTTGACTTGTATGATGTATTGTAGGGCGAACTAACAGTACCCAGGACAAGATGCCCAATTCATTCTCATTTGTGATATTTACGAAGAACAAATATTAAAGGAGAAGAAGACAATGAAGCCTGGTTAAAACCAGGAGTGAGCTCTATCAGTCACCTTCTTAGAAGTGGTGTATAAGTTACTTACCATTTTCATATCCCTGGAATGGATCAGACTTGGTTTGTCTCCCAATATATCCCAAATTTTCACGTATTTGTCAGCAGATGATGTCACAAGGCACCCTTTGATCTGACTGCTTAATTGGAGTCCTGAAAAGTTAGAAAAGATCAGTTAAAAAAAAATCACCATTTAATTGTTGCATACTTGTCTTTACCATGTAACATTTTAAAGGGAAGTCAAAAGACAGAATCGCATATTTTCCATGAGCCTTAAAAAAGAAGCAGGGGAAGACTAACAGAAACACTGTTCCCCTTGCCCCCTCACAGACACTTTGGGAGAAGCACAGATGCTTCTACGGGTGAAAAATGTACAGTGGCCCCTTTCTCCTTGGACCTCTTAAAACTGCAGTAATGGCTCAGTCCTCTCCAAACTGCTAACACCATACTTCTTGGCTTCTTTGAACAACTGTCCAGGCTCATGGCCTCATCTTTCAAGGATCAAAGACTATGTGCTCATTTTTTAGTTTTGTTTTGGCAGAGTCCATTTCATAAAGAATATTTTTGTGCATTCATTCATCAATCCGTTAAAATTCTCCAGAACCAAGCAAACATTTAAATGGCCAGCTACTATGATTACTATTAAGATTTATACTAAGCAAAAAAACCAAAAACAAAACAAAGACTGCTTCTCTCAAACAAGTTCATTTTTACTTACCCATTTAAAAAACTTATTCCAACTACACATTAATGGGTATGTTTTACATACAAAAGGAAGATCTGAAATTTACCAGATACTTCTTCATTATGAGCCTTCAGAGTAAAAAGTGGCTTATCAGAACGAGCATCCAGACAGTACACAAAGCCATCTTCTGTGCTAGCCTGGGGAAAACAATACATTATCAAAGAAACTGCCATATCAATTCACTAGACAAAGTATATAATCTAAGGTTTATAAAATCCATCAAATTCAGACTTTATATTACAGTATCCTGAACAACATAAATACGCTTTTCTTAAACAAGAAATTAAGCTTGATTAAGCTTGCAGTTAAATAGCTTGCAAGCAGATGTCAGATAACTCATACACTAGGTAATGGGATATGTGATGGAAAACACCCTGTGTTTACACCCTATGCACTAATGTAATGTTTGTACAAGGTATGTTTTGTGAGGTACTATTTAAAAACTCAATTTGTAGACTAGTAATATCCAGGTAAAATTCATATAGAAACATTATATGTAAAGTTCTGAATGTAAGTTAAAATCATGACTGACATAGGTTTTCCAGACAAGGAAGAGAGGCAGGGACAAAGATCTGCATCTTAACAAAAACAGCACGAGTCTCCTTCTTCCAACATGTCTCTGGGTACTCAGCTAGAAAGACTTTTCAAAGAGGAACTATGAAAAGTAGGGGCAAACACCTAAAGGCATGACCTCTTGTTCCCTGTCCACCTCATTGTCTGCACACAGGAAGACAAAGGAAACAGCCCTGTCACTCTGGGGTAGAGGTTCTGACCTGAAGAGTTTGGCTAGTAATGCTGCTAGAAGTATATGGTGAGAAATTCTGCTTGAAGCTAATCTAGACTGTCAAAAGCTTCAGAGGGGTGGCCGAGTTAGTCTGTAAGTGGGAAAATTTAAAAAACAACAAATAGTCTTGCAGCACCTTAATGATTAACAAAACGTGTAGATGGTACCATGAGCTTTTGTGGGCACAACCCCACTTTTTATGCCCTTCCAACATGACTGCGAACCATTAATAACTACTCTCTGAGAACAGTTAACCAGCTAGTTATGCACCCACCTTACAGTAGCCCAGTGTTTACCAATTTTATTTGGCCATGGAACCCTTTTCAGAATTTCAAGGAACCTCTAGGTTTGTCAAGCAAAAGAAAAAAGGGGGGAGGGGGGCCCACCAATGCATGAAAAAGCACATTCCTTCCCCAAGACCCCACCCCTTTGAGGCCCCATCCTCTCTGTTCCCCTCCTCTCCATCACTTGCTATCCCCAGCCCTTATATACTCTCACTGGGTTGAGACAGGAGGTGTGGGCTCTGGGGTGGGAATGAGGGATTTGGGTGTGGGAAGGGGTGAGAAGTGCAAGCTCTGGGAGGGAATTTGGATGCAGGAGAAGGGGAGTCCCAGGGCAGAGAGCTCTGCCTGCACAGTTGGAGCTGCGCAGACCCGGGTCTCCTGACCTCCCTCCCCCCGCCCGCCGCGCAGAAAGGCGGCAGAACTAAGTTACCAGGTGCCACAGCCCCAGCTGTTCAGGCAGCGCATGCTGGCTCCTTTGGGGAGGGGAAGTGCTTCCCGCCCTGCTGTGGGTCACGTGGGGTCACCCCATTCGGCACCCCCCTAGTGTGCCAGCTGGGAGCAACTGTTCCCCTCTGCCCACGTCTCGCTATGCCTCTGCATCGCCAGGGAGGAAGAGGAAACAAGTGTGCTGCTTCTTTAAGAAGCTGGTTAGCCAGCGCTCTCCCTTTCAGAGGGGGCGGGGGAATGTCAGCTCCTCACGGAACCCCTACTTTCACTTCGCGGAACTCCAGGGTTCCGCAGAGCACCAGCTGGGAAACACTGCAGTAGCCCCATCTATGTTGTATTTCCCTTGTTTATTGATAAGAACGTCATGCAAGACCGTATCAAATGCTTTACCAAGGTCTAGGTATACCACATCCACTGTGCTGGCTGTTACTTATCACTTTATCTTCCAAGTGTTTGCAGATGATTTCCTTAATTACTTGCTCCATTATCTTCCCTGGCACAGAAGTTAAACTGACTGGTCTGTAGTTTCCTGGCTTGTTCTTATTTCCCTTTTTATAGATGGGCACAATATTTGCCCTTTTCCAGTCTTCTGGAATCTCTCCCAACTTCCATGACTTTTCAAATATGATAGTTAAAGGCTCAGATAACCTCCTCTATCAGCTCTTTGAGTATCCTGGGATGCATTTCATCAGGCCCTGGTGACTTAAAGACATCTAACTTTTCAAAGTAATTTTTAACTTGTTTTTTTTTTATTTTAACTTCTAAACCTACCCCATTTCCACTAGCAGTCACTATGTTAGGCATCCTGTCACCATCAATCTTTTGACAAAAACCAAAGTTATTAAGCACCTCTGCCATTTCCAAGCTTCCTGTTATTTTTTTCTCCCTCTTCACTGAGCAACCTCAGTTGCTCATTTTCTGGGGGGAAATCTGTTGTGGTCACTTTGCAGTACTCAAGGCTGGCAAGAGCCAGGGTGTGACTGGCAGGCTGCCATTACACAAGCATCTGGGAGTGACATGCATGCTGGAAGGCCGTTTTGTGAGTGGTCATGGATGCTACAGCACCAAGGCATTGTAAGGCACCACAAATTAGAAGGCAGGGATGACACAGGCCCTCACTGGTCTGGATTGTTCCCTGATATATCAGAGGCTAAGGAGCCTTTCACCTCTTGTCTGCAAGTTCAAATCTACCCAAGTTCAATAGTGACTGAAAAGCTATTTGATGTCTGATCTTCACAAAATGAGCTGATGGTCATAGCAAAAAAAGTGACTATTTGACAAATGCAAGTCACTTTTGGTAACTATAAGCAAAAAAGTGAATGGATGTGAAAACTGAACCCATCCTACTATTTTTTATTAAAATGTCAATATTTTTGATCATCTACACTTGTAAGACAGTGCCCTCTAGAGCTTAAGGGATTAAAATAAAGCAGTCTCCTCTACGCTTTAAACATTTTAAATGAAGATCCATTTAAGTCCCATGAACAAATAGCACCCAGTTGAGGATTATCAGTGAGACATAAAAGGGATTGCAGCAGAGGAAAGTCTACATCAACCTCCAGAAATGACTGGAACTTGGCTATGAAATAAGGCACTAGGATGACAAGGGAACAGCACGGATTGGGTTGGTGGTGTAGCTGCTTTCTGTGAAAGGAGATAACAAATCTGTAAGTAATCCAAATTCTTAACTGCTAGTGGGTTATTAATCAAGTGCTACACACCTAGGGTGGAAAATGGGGTTAGCTCAACTCAGTCCATGAAATAGCAGCTGCTGTCCTTGCTATTTCATGGACTGTGTAGAGCTACCAGAAGAAGTGCAACAATGACAGCTGTACATGTGTGTTCAATATATTATACTCACTAAGAAGTTGCAAGGTGAGAAATGATTCCAAGTCACTCTCTCAACCTGTCCACTAAATCGCCAGATTCGATGGTTATCCTGTGGACTTCTGCAGTCATATAAGACAGCAGACCTAGAAGAAATCATTCCAGAACACTTAATGATAAACCAAATTTCATGATCACCTAGCAATATTTAGGTTTTCTGATTTGAAAAAGAAAATAATATATTAAAGGTGTAAAAAGAATTCATGTTATGGACCAAGATGTTTCTTATGAGTACAAGAGCCTTTCTGTTGAGACTAAATGAGGAAGGTAAATTCCAAAACAATCACTATACAGGAAATACGATCGCTGGAGGACTATAATTATACACCAACATATAACTTCAATATGAACATACATGATTTCATGTTACTAGTTTCAATTAACCAGTTGGTTGCAAAATAAAATATTAGGAAATTAATTTATGAAAAATGCATCTTGTGTGTATTTTCAAATGCATTTTAAACAAGACATTACTCTTGAGAAATGGCTGGGGAGATTCTGCACTTAGAAGGCGTGAGAGCAAATAAGGATTAAGCGGTGGTTAATGGACTAATCATCAATTTGTACTGACAACACAGCAGCAGCCCCTGTTCGTGGTGGCCAGGGCTGGCCGTGAACAGAAGCCGCTCTGACAGCAGCCTCTGCTCGCAGCCAGGTGCTGATAAGAGGCAGCAGTGTGGGTGGGGACTGGCAGCACTGCAGAGACAGTGCTCGGGGGAAACCAGCTTCGGTTTCTTCCCCCCTTGCCTCTATCAGCAAGTAGAGCTGACTCATGGGGGACTCTGAAAATCCTTGTGCTAAGCACAATTGGGCAGAAGCTCTTCAACTGGCAGCAAGCATGCAGAAGTTGTTTGGTGTTAAAAGGAAGAAAGATTCTGTAGCTTTACTCTTTAACACAGAGTAGCCACAATGTAACCTATTCCCACACTATCCTGTAATTTAAAAAACAAAAAACCAAAGCCCAAACATCGATGTGATGATCAAACATGTAGCAGGAAAAGCACCATTTTAGATACAGCACAGCTTTTAATAAATTTCCTTGACTTCAGCTGCTTCTAGGTCACAGTATACTTTAAAGAAATCAGCAATGGTTTATGGGTGCTTATGGCACTGGAGGACTGGTTGCAGATGACTTGGCAGAAGTCTGACTCAGCAAAAAAGGGGGACAGTGGCATAGGAGTAGACTCACAACCATCCCAGAGGCCATCTAAATATTTAAGAGATTGCACCAGATTTCTAAGATAAACCAAATACAGCAGAGATAAGGTTGACTGCTTTTGATAAATTTTTAAATATATGTAAAGGCAAAGAATTAAAAACTAGAACAGAAATTTGACAGGATATAGCAATTATGGAATGAAATGACAGTGACTACAAAAAGTCAGATCAAACTACTCCCTTCTCAGACAAAAATGAAAACAGGAAGTATACCCTTTGAAGTAGCCAAATGCAACATACAGAAACAAAGATCTACTAAGAGAACATCTAGATAAAGAAAACAAACAGCATGAGTGGTGCGTTAGCAGAGAATAGACACACAGGAAGTATAGGTAAGACACAGTGAAGAGACTATAGTAAAGTTGAGACTTCATGACACTTTCTGACCTTTTATACATTACACACAACAAACTACATGAAGAGAACATTACTGAGATCACAAAGTCAAGCATGCAAAATTTGGGAAATGTTAGGAAGTTAGGAAATGGCAGAATATCTGTGCAACCTAATTCAGCACTCTTGTGAGCATGCATGATAGAGTCTTTAATTACATGATCACATACTATTTTTTGCACAGAACTTCTGCACCTTATTAAGTGCATGAGATGGATGAGCAGCTACTCAATATTTGGTCTTCTTATTAAGCAGCATGTGGCCCCGGGTCCTGTCTGACTACACATTATTTAACCTCTGCTCCAGACAGAATCTCCTTATTGGCTTTCCTATAGTGCTCATCCCTCACAAACATTAATCTGAGAGTGCCTCACAAACATTCATTTATCTTCACAACACCCAGTTTTGCAGACAGGGAAGCGAGGAAGAGAGAAATTAATGTCAAAAGTATTTGCTAATTCTGGGTGTTCTATTTGAGACCCACAGAACCTGATTTTTCAGAGTAGTTAACACTTCATATGATCACACTTCATACGATCAAAGCACAGCTCCAACTGACTGCAGCTGCAACTGTGAGAGCACAGCGCTTCTGCAAATCAGATACCAGGGTCTGTATCTGGGCATCCAGAAGCTGAGGAATACAGTTAGTGGCCATCCGTGAAAAATTTGGCTTCAGTGACTTGCCTAAGATCATACAGGAACTCAAGAGCCAGGACAGAATCCCATTCTCCAAGGCTACATGCAACCAGAGAGCATCTTTTCTCTTCCTGCAATTCCCTGCTTCACTCACTACACACTTCCCAAATTCTGCTAGAAACACGACAGGCATCCTACAGGCAACAGGCTCTTTCACTACAAAAATCCCAATTCATTCTCAGATCAGATTCATCCCATGCAGCAAGTCAGACGGCATCCTGTGGAACAAATAGCATGTGACTATATAATTGAAGACTGTACCATAATGCAGTCACACGGGGAGCCAAACTCTGGCTGCACAGGTAACCTTCATTCTGACTTTTGAGCACTTCTGCTTTAATACATGTCTTTTTGTGCAGTTTTGTGTAATCTCCAAAGTTTTTAAAAAAGCCAACTAAACCCCCCAAATCTCATCTTGTGGCATGGCAGACACGTGTGGCTCATTGGCAGGGTTGGAACCTTTAACTGCGCTGCAAACACACCTGCCACTTGAGATAATAGTAACTGCTGATAGTAGGTTCTCCTCCTCTATGAGGAACACTGGGGAGAGGGGGGAAGAGAGTGGGATATTTTGCCAGAAAGTTGTGTCTTTGCGGACAGCAGAGGAATGTTGACACTCAGGAATCCTGGATTCCATTCCAAGCTCTGGAAAATGTCTGCTCTAGGAGACACAGACTTTTGCCCATTCCCTCCAAATATGACTTGCTGTCCATTCTCTCCAACCCGTCCCCTTTCTGGCTTTGTTCTAGTCCATTCCTCAGCTTCTCATCCTAGTCCTAATCATTTTGCCTAGCAAGTCCTATACTCAATTCCACATACTCCATACACTGTCCACAGCCATTTCTAGTTCCACTTCCCCAGCCCCTTGTACGGTCTATCACTGTCAAGCACTTTCACCTCGTCACCTCCCCCACTGGCCATTAGTCCTCATATCCCTCCCTCCCCTAGCTACCTGTCCTAGTCTCTTTCCCCAGTTGTTCCCAGTTCACACCTCTGCACCCCAGCTCTTCATCAGATCTCTCCCCCCACCATGACCTCTGTTTCCCTCCAACCCACAGACTCCAAGTTTACTTGCCCAGATAGTCTCCAGACTCAGTCCTCTTCCCCAAACCTCCCATAGGTCTCATTAACCTAACCTATACCTTTGACAAGTCTGGCTCATGTCCTTTCTTGATTCAAATGAATGTACTTCCTCATCAGTGGTACCTACGCCCAGTGGGGAAGAGGAATATTAAGAGCACAAAAACTTAAAAACAACAAATAGTCCACTAACACTGTGAAGTAGTGGGGGTGCTGTCTGCTCTGTAACCTGGGGTCCCCCTGCAGTGTGATGTGTGATTCCCACTGACTCACCCACATGTGTATTGGCCCAGACACCTAGTCCCAGCCTGACCAGATAACAAGGCTCTTCCCAGAGGGAGAGACAAAGGAAGGAAGGCGGAGACAGCCACCTGGCTTGGGGGCAGGGTCTGGGAGCAAGGCAGTTTCTGGCTGGGAAACATGGAGGGAACAGACTAAGCTGAGTGCTGAGGAGGCAATGGATCCCCTAACCCAGGGGTGTCCAAACTTTTTTCAGAGAGGGCCAGATTTGAAGAAGTGAACATGCGTGAGGGCCGTCCCCGCACTCTCAGCCCCAAGGCAGGGTCGGAGGCGGGCGGAGAGCGCAGGGCACGCCGGCCTCACGGCGGCCCGGGGGCAGGGCGAACCCGCAGCCGAGCGGGGGAGCGGGGCTGCGGACGCGCCCTACAGGGCAGGCTCTAGGACCACGGAGGCCACGGGCGGCGGCAGCGCGGCCGGAAGCGGCACGCTGGGCGCGCCAGTTCAAAAGAGCGCCGGGGAGCCAGGAGAGGGGGAGGAAGCGGGGGCCGTATTAAATCGGAACACGGGCCGCAATTGGCCCGCGGGCCGGACTTTGGACATGCCTGCCCTAACCCAAGGGGTCTGAGGCACCCTGGCCCTGACTCCTGTAACTACATCATGTCTATGGTGTATCCTGGAGAAGCAATAAACCCTCTGTATTCTACTGGCTGGTGGAGTCTGTTCTGGCTGCTACAGGGGTGCAGGATCAGGTGAAACCCCGACACGCCATCACAAGCACCTTAAAGACTAAATAGTTACATGAGGCTGATAAGAACCATTAGTTTGCACTTGGAAAGGAAGATGACCAATACCAGACTACGTTATTTTAAAATTTTTCCTGTTACAGACTAACTCGGCTACTCCTCTGAAGATTAAGAGAATACGATTCTCTACTGAACATATGTGAATCACAATTTTTCAAAGGCTTATAACTTGACAAAATTTAAGTTGTTTTTTCACGAGAACAGAAAAAGCACCTTCCTGAGAAAAAGGCCACCCTCCCCACCCCACTGCCAAATGTTAAGTCCCTGCTCCAAAGTATGGAAGCACTAGAACTTTTCAAAAGAAAAGTAGTCAGAGTTTTATTTATTTTACAGGGACGTATTTTCCCTATCCTCATTTTGAAAGCAGTAGAATCATTTTGGCAGAATGAATGAATAAAATTAGCATGACAATGATACCTGGCATGGAAAACTTCATCACAAACAGTTAATATTTGGCAATTGTATAAACTACTACTACTACTACCAAAAAAAAAAAAAAGGACTCATGAGAGGCTCTATCCAGCAACCAAAATAACAGGCTAGATCCACTTACAATAGGGCAAAAAGCAATATTTCCCCTACTTACTTATCATAAGATCCAGAAACAAGGGTCTGTGTTTCAAATGGATGAAATTGCAGTGTCTGGACCTAATAAGAACATAGAAAAGTTTTAAACACACACACACACACAGGGATTTAAAATACATACAGGACATCTGCTTCAGTCTGTGTCATACAGGATAAAGTACAGCACAATTCCATGTAACTCCCACTATACTTGCTGGTAATTCAGGACCTTTACATAAAGCAGAGCATGCATCAAGCAATACAGAGATGGAATTAGAAATACACAATCTCTCTTTTGCCAAAAATCTTCAAAAAATAAGGTGTAAAGGGTAAAAAGTCTGCTTACACTTGAACAATTGTATAACTATGCATGCATTAGCAAAAACAGTACAAGACGTTTGTCAAGAACAGTAAACTGTGTTAACAAGGTAACTGAGATTAAGAATTTTCATTTTGATTACCAATAGGGACGCCAACGTGTAGATGATTACATGGTTGACCAATAAGACCCCACCCACCATGCTGCTGCCCCTATCCAGCTTCCCTCACAGACTGGCTCCACTTGTCACCTGGCAGTGGTGCCTCTGATACAGAGGCAGCAGCGTAGGGTGGCAGGGGGCTCTTTGGAAGTGGAGCCAGGAGTGCACTGGCTGCCAGCCCCATCCCTCACGGACTATTGAATTGTTGTGTAATTGCTAAAATTTAATGGGGTTACACAACTATTCAATTACAAGCTAATAGCCCTATTACAAAGGGTATGTCTACACTACAGCATTATTTCAAAATAACGCATCTACACAACAAAATGCATGTCCACACTGAGCGGACCCACTGAATTGCATTTAAGGCTGGCCGGAACCAGTTCTAGCAGGGCACCAGATCAGGACTTTCTGTGTGGGGCTGCTGCCTGAGGCTGAGGCCTGTGCTTAAAGGGACCGCCCCCCCGGACAGCCAGTTCTCAGGTTTCTCTGATTGCTTGCCTACCTCAATGAGGGACAGCAAAGCATTTTGTCTCTGCTTGTTCTGGTTGCCCACACTTGGGACACCACAGCACTCTGCAACATGGAGCCAGAGCTGCCCCTGGGCACTATGGTGCTTCTCATGGATGCATTGCTGTGAGCCTGGCTGCACTTTCTGCAGGCTGCCATCCGGGAGGTCCATCGGGGGACTGTCAGTGTCCAGGAGGTCCTGCAGGAGAGCTTCCACACTGAGGAGCCCTAAGAGCCTCTCTGGTCTGCCCCACTGGGGGCTTGTGCCTCATTCCTCCCTCACGTCCTTCCTCTTACCCCTCCCTAACCTCCCTTCCTAATGTCAAATAAAATACATGTATTTTCACGAATACAAACAAAATACATGTATTTGCATGAACACAAATTCTCTTTATTTAACAAAACTGGGATGAGGGAATGAAGCTCTGGTGAGACTGGGGAAAGGAGGCGGGAGAGGGGAGAAGAGAGGGTGGGAGAGAGGAAGGGGAAACCTGGGAGGAGGGAGCTAGAAGGGGGAAGCAAGGGGAAGAAGGGAGAGGGGAAGCGCAGGGTCTCGCCAGACCAACCTGATTTTCATGCAAACCTGCTCCTGGGTTCGCATGTGGCCTTTGGTGGCCAGGCTGGCAGCTATTCTGCCATAGACAGCCACGTTCCTCCATCTAGTGCAGAGATTATGGATGTTGGGGGCATCCCCCCCCAAACCTGAATAAGGTCCATGATCTCCACCCTGGACCAGGAAGGTACCCGCCTTCTCCGGGCCCTGGCAGGCTCCTGGGATCTGGTAGACTGCTCCTGAGGAGCGGTGGAGGGCTGGCTCATGTTTTGGGGCCACTGGGTCGGGGCAGTGACTGCTGGCTCTGGGCTGGCAGGCTTGGAGCTGGCACAGGCACTATGGCCAGAGTCAACCCCTTTAAGGGCTCCGGGGAGGAGGGGAGGGAGAGGAATGTTCTTGGTTGAGGCTAGAGGCCCCCTATTTCGATACAAGTAACTACACAGCACTTATTTTGAAATAGCCATTTCGAATTAATTTTGAAATAATTACAAAATAGCGGTTTGGCTGTGTAGACACTAGTAAAGTTATTTCGAAATAACTCTGCTGTGTAGCCATACCAAAAAAGAAGTATTTCTTAAGTATCTTTCATCAGAATTTCTAGGTGTCATATTACAATGTACCTGTGCTAGAAATATTGTTATAATTACACATTGTCCTATAAAGAGACTACTGACAATTTGACCCATTTCTTGAAAAATCTATTCTTCTGTCACTTATGGCAACATCTGGCTTCTCCTTGTCATAAACCACTTATGGATTTACATTTACATGAGGTTATCTAATATTCTCTTAAACTTCCCAAAGTGAGCTTATTTGACAGAAACCAAATACTGAAATGTAATTCCCAAAAAACGATTCACTCAAAAAATTATGAACATTTGCATATTGGTTATAACCAATGTAAAATTAAATTAAATTAAATTAAATTAAATTAAATTAAATTAAATTAAATTAAATTAAATTAAATTAAATTAAATTAAATTAAATTAAATTAAATTAAATTAAATTAAATTAAATTAAATTAAATTAAATTAAATTAAATTAAATTAAATTAAATTAAATTAAATTAAATTAAATTAAATTAAATTAAATTAAATTAAATTAAATTAAATTAAATTAAATTAAATTAAATTAAATTAAATTAAATTAAATTAAATTAAATTAAATTAAATTAAATTAAATTAAATTAAATTAAATTAAATTAAATTAAATTAAATTAAATTAAATTAAATTAAATTAAATTAAATTAAATTAAATTAAATTAAATTAAATTAAATTAAATTAAATTAAATTAAATTAAATTAAATTAAATTAAATTAAATTAAATTAAATTAAATTAAATTAAATTAAATTAAATTAAATTAAATTAAATTAAATTAAATTAAATTAAATTAAATTAAAAGGAGATTGCCTATCTCCTAGAACTGGAAGGGACCTTGAAAGGTCATTGAGTCCAGTCCCCTGTCTTCACAGCAGGACAAAGTACCATCCCTGACAAATTTTTGCCCCAAATCCCCTCCACAAGGATTGAACTCACAACCCTGGGTTTAGCAGGCCAATGCTCAAACCACTGAGCTATCCCTCCCCATTAGAGCTTGTCACTAAATTTTCAATGTAATAAGTTGCAGCAGGGTTCCCCCCATATTTTATAACAAAAGAAACAACAATATCCACATACTTTGTCCGTATGTAAAGTAAGGTTCGCTGCTGGCTTGCCCACAGACATATCCCATAGAATTACAGAGTTGTCAGCTGAAGCACTTGCTAACACATTTCTGAAAATATACACAAGCAAAAGCTTTAGACATTTACATTCAAGTGAATAATGGCTCTATGTCATAAATACACAGCTTGATTCTGATCTCAGTGAAGCTCAAGTCTGTAGCTTATAACCTTCAAAAATAACATTTGGTACTTAATGGTAATAAATTACATATTTCAGAACAGAAAACCCAATAATTGTATTGAAGGGATGTAGCATTGGTATACTGCTCATGCAGTCGTGTGTTTTCCCCCCACCATACCTAAAAAAATTCTCCAGCCAATGATATGATACCAGTGATAAAACCGTCAGAAACTTTGAGGACTTACTCCTTTCTGTACATTTTAAGATAAGATAAGAGCTACATAGTACAGATTTGAATATTGTATCAACATAGCCAAGAAACAAAAAAAACCTATTTTTGGCAAGCATTTTTCTCATCAGCCTCTCTGCTAACTAAACAGTTAAACAGCACAATCCTGCAACCCTCCTCACTATCTTACTCAGACAAGTCTTCCTACTGAAATCAAAACTGCATAGGCTCTTACATCATATTTTAAAATTTATGGTGATAAGGGCTCTAAATACAAAGATAAGAACTTTATTAAATATACAACAAAATCACCATTGTCTAAATGTTTTAGCTCTTATTATTCAACAGACTAAAGCTCCCCCACTTTTTCATACTAGAAGGAAGTTCTTGACTGAAAGACACCTGACATTTCTCCACAACACTGTTCCACCAAAGCAATACCACAGAGTGGAAATTTACAGAAGGCACAGTGTGGATTACAAGGACATTTTACAAATAATGCCAGTAAGGCCCTTCAGCCAGAAAGTGATTTGTAGGCAGCTGTCATAACTTGTCTTGCTTTTCAAAATGCAATTAAAATGCTGCACTGAGACTGCTCTTTGAGTTCTTGACTTGCACCCAACCTTTGCATTTCAGGATTAGTTTTTCTGCAACATCCACTGGTGTCAGCAAGGTTATTACTCAGTACACTATAGAACAAGGAATGTCAGGCACTAATTCAACCATATAGAGGGGCTTAATATTTACAAGGTCACTCAAATTACTTCTATGAAAATCAGCTGCTTTTAGTCAACATGAAATTGACTTTCTAGTTACATCAGGGGTGGGCAATAATTTTTGAAAGGAGGGGGCTGCTTCACAAATTTTGGAAGTGGTTGCAGGCCACCCCAGAAGGGGCGGGGTTGGGAGCCACTCTACTGGGAGCTTTGTTTGGCCTGGGGACCCTGCCCCCTGAGTTCTGGACAATGGAAGAGACCTGGTACAGATGGGAGGGTGCTGGTGGCTAGCCTCCTCCCTGAATTGTCTGGGGCGGAGGCTTAGAATTCACATAAGCAGTGCTCATAGTTCCGAGCTGCCTAACCTGTTGCCTGGCATCCGCCCAAGAGGCACAAACCCTTTAAATAGCATGGGGCCAGGAGCTGCGAGCCCTTTCAATTGCTTCTATTGAAAGGTCAATGCATTAGGGGGCAGGGCTGGGAATTGCCGCAGGGGCCACTTCCAGCCTGCTGAAAGGCTCTTGCCCAGCTCTCAGGTAGATGCTGCTGGTGTTAGCAAGGATAAAGGCTGAACAGCTGCACACCAACGGAGTACCACTTATGGAGTCATTACTATATGATTTCTTACATTCATTGTAATCATTTGACTCATTCTTTTTGCAATAGGCAACATAGGGCCAATTAAAATCTAATTTTTTTGTATGTTCAATGAATATCTATGGGAGAATTTTTTCATCTGTAATATCTGGATAAAACCAGCAGTTTTCCAAGGAGACTGCTGCTGAAAATGGGTATGCTGAACTGACAAGAAGATCCTCAGAGACAGTTAATGGGAGTAGGAAAAGATCATACTATATCTAATTGAAAAAGCCATTTACAGGGCCCATAATAAGAACCCCGTATTAACTCTGTTATTGGAAAAACAATCAAGGTGGTAGAAAGAAGATTCATTGAAACGTGAGTGCCTCCGGGTGCTCCACACTTCAGGTATGCAGCCCCAACTGATTTTCCTGTGGGTCAGCGGCCCCCAATCCAAAAAATTTTCTACACCCTTGCCCTAGATGGAGGAGGGAGCTTCAGAAGAGAGTCCCAACCTGCAGAAACTACTGCAGAACCAAATGCTGCATTGAAACTGTGTGAATCAGGGCATGATGTTCTAAAAAAAACACCACACTTACTGAAGTCCATGTAGCAGCCCTACATATTTCAGATACTGGTACATTCTTCAGTAATGCCACCGATGTTGCCTGTGATCTGGATGAATATGCTATCACCCTGGATGAGAATACATCCAGATAGCCATTTTAACAGTCTGAATAAAATTCAGAACCCTGTGGATCTATTTGCAAAAGAAATTAAGAGCTTAGGAGACTTCCTATATTGCTGGGTCCTATCTAAGTAGAAAGCTAATGCCCTTCTAACATCCAGTATATGTAAACAGGATTTCTATAGAGAACCATGTGATTTCAGCAAAAACACGGGTAGATGAATGAATTGATTATGGCAGAGCTTTGACAAAAATCTCAGGTTAGAATTTAGGGCATGGATGTAAAGAGACCTTGTCCTTACACAACACCATAAGGGGTGGGAGAGGAGGAGTGGTGATCTGCCAACAGGGTTCCAAAATCCTCGACATTAAAGGTTGACACGATTGCTACTAAAAAAAAAAAAAATCCATCTTCATAGTTAAATGCAACAAAAAGGTTGCCACTGACTTGAATGGAGGTCTCGTAAGCTGACTTGAGTGTCAGGCTCAGGTTCCAGGTTGGGACAGTGTTTCTATTGGGCATATATAGAGAGTTTCTAAACCTTTACAAACCTAAACAATATTGAGGATAAATCTGGCTCTGTGCTGTCTGACCTTGTTCATCACCCTTAATGCCAGTGGTGCTGGACAAAACAAGATTTTGAGCAGGGGAAAAGGGGACATTTTCTATTCCTGCGAGTAGTGAAGAAATCCACCCACCAGCTTTGAAAATGCTGTGGAAAATTCTGGTGTTTAGCTCCCATACGTAATCTTGCGAGAAGCATCTAAGGACACTGGGTGCAGTGTTCTGAATACCAGTGAGGTAGACTGATGAAATCTGCATCTGATGAGCTATGCAAATATCCCATAGTTTCACACCTTCAATGCAGAGAGGATCTCACTCCTCCCTACCTACAGAAAAGACTGGATTGATTTGCCCAGATAAGTAGTAAGAAATGAAGGCAAGTGTTCCTGACAGTGCTGAACGCCAACATATTGATGAAGACTGGTTCTTGAGTTGTCCACGTTCCTTAAGTTGAGGGTATTGAGGTGTGCTCCTCCTACCCTACCATATTGTTGCTTTAAAAAAAACAAAAAACAAAAAAACAAAAATCAGAGACTAATGGGGGAAAAAAAAAAAAAAGAGCTTTTGTAGGCAAATCCCACTTCTGCAGATGTTGTTAAAAATCACTGATGGGGCTGGGTCACAGAAAGGTACACCCACACAGATGTTGAGTTGATTCTTCCACCAGTCTAAAGAGTTCCTCACGGATAGCCTGTCTGTCCAAGGTATATCGGACTGGAGAACAGTTTGTTCTGAGCCACCTTGAAAGCAGCAGAAATGTAACCTTATGTGATCGGTCACAAAGATGCAAGCTGACGTGTCCCAGAAGCTGAAGACAGTTCCTTATGATTCAAGAGCTTCCCCAAATTGCCCATACCAAATCTGACATGGTGACGAATCTAAAGGAAGTTGGGATCTGGTTGCCAACAAGTCCAAATACATTCCTATAAACTGCATAGTTTTTACTGGGGTTATCCGGCCTAGTGTAATCCCAGGGAGATGAAGAAAATTTTATATTTGTGCTATCGCTGCTTCGTCACCTCTCTGCACTTTCTGATTTTGTCAGTGAAAAGAGCACTTCCCAGCACATCATGCAATCCTGTCCTTTGGAATTTGGTACCAGAGTTGCCAGGACAGCAGGACCACAGAAATGGCTAAAAGTCACTTTTGTTTTAAGTACAAATTTTAAAAATACAAATCACTGGGAGATGGTCTCGATTTTCACTTGTGCGGAGTCCAAGTACCTTTCAGCTGAATTAAACTGAGCATTAATTACATTAAGTTGATCTTTAAGCAATGAAGTAATAGATCTGTATAAATATTTCATACAAAAATTATGTATATTATTTACAGTTAACTGTATCTAATCATTCAAGTTTTCTTTTACCTGTTTTGCTTATTCCATGACAGGTCAAGAACTGCATCAGTATGTCCATCCTGATTCCCTTGTGGTGTTGAACTCTAGATACAGATACATTTTAAAGAGATTTTAAAATATTGTATCTTCCAGGGAAAAAAATCCCATGCCTTTATTATTTTTTAACATACCCTCATATAGGCAAATGAGAAACAGCATGATAATTCAATATTTCCACCAGCTGAAACCCTTTCCATACAGTGTAGGATATAGAAGCACCTCCTCTTAGCTTGCTTCTTTTTCTCTCTCTTTCCTTATCTATCCAGCACACAGCAGAAGCTATACTCCCTTTTGCCAGCTCACAAAGATTCAAATATTCATCAGCTAGTATGGAGCTTCTTTGGGTGTCTCTTCCCTCCCCCCTCCAATTCTCCTTGCTCACCACCCCTGTTGTGGTTCCTACTCTCTGCCATATAGTCTCCTCCTCAATCACCACAGGTTCACTACCTACTAATGTCCAATTTTTTTGAAGTTAAGAAAGTAAAGCGATGATAAGCTACAATGAACATTGCTTTGGGAAGATGGGAATCCTCCAGAATCCCTCTTCCTATTTTTTCCTCTCCAACCCAGTTACCTGTAAGTGAGAAAGTTCCATTAGCTTCTTTAATTAATGAAATGCTACTGCAAATATTATTCATATACATATCCAAACTTTTCAGCAGCAAGATGCACAGAATAATTACCCTTCTCCCGTGAGCTTTTTACAATCTAAAGGTCTGAGAGAGAGTTAAAAATTAAATCCTCTTTTCAATTACACAAAGGAGTGGGCCCTTGAGGTGGATAATGGATAGATTATGAGACAGAGCCATACCGATAGTTTCTGAGAGATGCTCAAATAATATCTTGCAGATGTAGTGTCTCTGTCAGAGGTAACTAAACCAGACCTTATACTTTTTAATTAAAAATGAATAAAAATATCGGTGTGCATTACTTGGCTCAAAACTGTACAAACTTAAGACAAAGACATGGTCCTGGACTGTAGATTTTGCAATTGAAGCAGATCAGTAAATGTGCAATATTTACCTTCTTTCCCTTTTTCTTCTTTTTCTTTTCTTTTTTACTTCCAAGAGAAAAGACTGGCTCTAGAGAATCCACTATATCAAGGTCCCAGACTTCAATAACAGGGGTCATGTTACCCACTGCAACATAATTTCCTGTAGAAGCAAAACCAAATGCCAGCTACTGTGTCTATGTAGATTAACATACACAAAGTGCAGGATGATACAACCAGATTATTTCATTACTTATTTTGAATGAATGCCTGTGAGCTCAGAGCCTTTCAATGACAAGTTGTACGTGGTTGGTGTCCAGTTAAAGTTACATAAGTAGAAACTGCCTGCAAAAACCTCCATCTTAGAGTTTATGGCGAGATGGAACAACTAGTTCACCTTGTCTGACCTCCTGTATACCCCATTCCACTGCGACCACCCAGCACCCACACAAAAAACCCAAATGACACCAAAGAATTACTTCCCATGGAGATTAGACTGTTATGTGTCACAGGCACAGAATAGGAAGGCCCAATTTGCACCAGTGCACAATCATTTCCCTGTCACTGCAGGGACGTTAAGTGAGATATACACAGATAATCCTGGCAAGTGATCTGCATCCATGCACAGCAAAGGAAGGTGAACATCTCCCAACATGACTGCCAACCTGATCTAAAGGAAAATTCATTTCTGAGCACATGTGGTGATCAGCTAGACCCTGAGCTTGTCAGCAAGAACTAGCCAGCCAAACATGAGAAAGAGACTACTCAGTGCCACCTCAAAGACCACAAAATATTCCTTCTCTGATACTTCAGAAAAAGATTTAAAAAGAGTTCCAGAATAGAA